GACCTTAAACGAAATACGGTGAATGCATCTCATATTACTGATTTACTGGTAGTCTCGAAAATCTACTTACATATGAAAAATTTGATGAAGTTTGTAGAAAGGCACGGCAAACGATTGCTAAGCCAATTTTGCCCGGAACCGAAGAAGGACGGCATCAATTTGAGCAACTCAGTAGGGTCAAAAGACTGCTGGGGAACAAGAATTCGTCGTCATATTCAGACGAGAGAGACCTACACCTTTCTTCATTAAGCACTTTGGTCCAAAGTGAAAGTTACCAAACCAACGGGATTACATTGCATGGGCTGATGAGGCAGCTGAGAATACAGTCTCCGTGGTTTTTGTTAAGTTCTCCTTTTCTCTTTAGCAGCGTAACTACCCTAAATCAGCCTAATTTGCCATCTTTCAGGTGATAAACATCAGCAAAATCAAGGCGCACACTCCGAATCTCCGAGTCGTCAACCTCTATGGGATCAGTTTTGTTGAGGACAGCCACGTGGAGCTACTGGCTACAAACTGCATCCACCTGGAGACTGTAGCGCTCAACTTCTGCCTGAATGTCAAGGGTGCAGCCTTCGCCACTCTGATCGCCAACTGCAACAAGGTCAAGACCCTGCTTCTCCGGCACTGCGGTAAGAGCCGCAGGCCCCAATTCTATCGACAATCTGATGAATTTAAATGCCATTTCGAATGGAAACAAACAGAAGTTCCAACAGAAGTATGATTAGAAGAAAGTATTTTTAGTCTGTAATTAGGTTTTCGAGACTAACAGATACATCTCATATGGCAGAACATAGTCATTCTAGGTCGGTTAAGGTGTATTCAGAACTGATAATTGTGTTTTTCCACATACAGACGAGTAGACCTTACTGTGCCACTACATGTGACTTAGGCCTGCCTCCAAAAAGGCTTGTCTTATTCATGCTGGACTTGAGTGCAGGTTCGACCTCGCCTCACCTTCCCTCATCAACATCTCAAAGGAATTTGATACCAGGTCGTAAATACCCTGGCTACGTCACTAATCCTCTATACGGCAACAGGTGCCAATGGGCCAGAGGGCAGACGCGACA